GCTTGCAATAAACATCTATGCCATCCCTGGTTCCCTGCCCACCCCCAAATCAAACATCTCCATAAAGGGCACCTGAGAGGCACATGCGGAAGGGAGGGGACAGCTGTGGCACCCCTGCACGCAGGACACCTGGGGCGGGGAGAAGCAGAGCCCCAACGGGAGGGGCAGGGGCAGTCTTTAGGAGCTCCAAGGAAGAGGAGATCTCCCTGTGGACACCATGTAGCCCCACTTACAGATATTATTGATCATTAATAGTTTCCACAGTAAAACAGCCCTGCTTTTCTGGCCAGAATTTTAGAATGAGCTCCCTTTAAAACGATTTCATTATTTTTAATGCCTTTTTTTTTTTCCTTAAAAAAAGACTAATCACTGACAATGAGAAGAGTTTAAAATAGAATTTTAGGCTTCCAGATTTTAATGGCCCTAGAAAAACGCCATTGTTAACACAGAAGCAGCTGCATACGTCTAAAAAATCACTTTGAGATTTGGCAGGGTTTCTTAAGAAACTTGAAGCTCAGCAAAAAGTTAAATAAATTATCCTTGAAAATGTCCCAAATGTTTAACTTCCAAGGGAATTTGGTCCAGTCAATTAACCATGTAACACCAGCTTCCTAACAGCAAAATTTATAGAATGGACATTTAAAATATTCCATGAATGCACAAAGCTAGAGCCACCAGACAGCCCAGTTACAGCCCAGACTGCTTCTCCTTCTGTCCTCTTTCAAGTGAAAGCCTGAATCAGCGGGATATTCAGTGTGATAGGCTTCAGGAGTTCCCAAGCCCAGCTTCACCCAGCACCTCCAGTGAGTAGCAGACAAAGCCGTGCATGGCTGGGTCCCACTGTAGACGAAGAGGTCTTCGTCAGGATGGGGGTACAGCACCAGGACATGTTGGTGCTCCCCAGCTGGCTGTCATGTACAGCCAGAGTTGGGTACCACGGACGCAGAGAGTGACATTTTAGGGGATCAGAGAGAAATAATAATGTGTGTGCATCTCCAAGCACTCGATTTGACATCTGCTCTCTGACAGCAAGCATCAACAAACCACACGTGGACACTGAGCCAGAGAGCCAGGCTTTGGTATCTCAAACACGACTGGTGAACAGGTTTGTTTTCCATCAATACTTTAGAACTTTACAGTCTCTGAACAGGAAAGTGTAGGAACGTGGTCTTAAGGAGGTCCTTAGCCTGAGGATGGTTAGAGGTCTACCAGAATCTGCAAGAATTATTCTGTTTAGGTCAAGTTATACTGTAGTCTGATGACAGCAGCAATAGCAAGTACTCCTCTACCGTTATAGTGACTTCTGCCAGTTATCAAACTTTAATGCTCACGACAACCCCATGAGTAGATATCTTTATCCCTTTCTTACAGACAGGGAAATGGGGGCTCAGAGGCATTGGGCAGACTCAAGTCCAAATTCCAAGTCACAAAACTCAATCTCAGCCAATTCCAGACAAGGGGCATCAACATGCTGTCTAGCCTCTGCCTCCAAGGCTCATGACATCTGTTATTAATGGCACCTGATGCCTCCACCTTTGCTCGTATAGACTGAGGCTTGGCTATTGCAAGGGCTTCCTGTCACATTGTCACTTAACTCCACCATGTCTGGAAGGAACTTGCCCCAGTTCCAACCAGGACACAGCTGAAAACCGCAGTCAATGGTATAAACATCACAAGGCAATATGGATAAAAGCCAGGATCCCTAGGGAGTGTCCCATCCCCTTTCCCAAGAAAAACAGAGGAGCAGGGCTGAGGTGTTAAGTGCGAGGGCCTGGATCTTACACACCCAGGGAGCACGCAGGCACTGGCAATGCCCACACTACACTGCTTGCTACCAGGTGACAGACCAGAGACCTGGCATGTGCAGGTGGTAAATGAACCACTGTTAGCTGGTGAGGGGGACAATACAGGCTTTGTGAAAACCCTCTCTCCCTGGGGTTTCTCACTGTGACAGGAATAAAATGGCCAGCAACCACAGGATGTCCCAGGGAAACCCCAGCAGCTCTCCATCTCCAAAAAGGTCTGGGCTACCAGGAATATATGCAGGAAGGCCCACTTCCTCATTGGGAGGAGACCAGAGGCTCTCATCTTAAGTCAGTTAAATCCCTACCTGGTTCCCACAGCCTTGAATCAAGGTCTTTATTTCAGACCCTAATCATCAGTGCTCCAGGCATCTGGAAACCCTAGCACCTGGCAAAAGGACCCTGATGCAGAGCAAGAGTGGCCCACAGAAGCGTGCACTCCTCTGGACTGGATGTCAAAGCTGGTGCCCCAGGTTGAGTCACACAGCACTGTGCACAGCAAAAACCACAGAGCAAGCGTTCTGGAGACACAGCCCAGCCTTCCTGAGTTAGGAGTCCTGATTGCAAAGTGAATTCCAAGGATTTACAGCTTATAAAGAGTGATTATTTCTTTCCTTGATTATACTACTAAGCAATGCACTTAAGGGTTTGGAACATTTACAACCTTTTGTACCTTGTTTGTACCGTTTCCTCAGTCTAAGAAGTACTCTGCTCTCCCCCACCTTTTGAAGCCACAGGGTGCTTCTCTCTGGAGCTCAGCAGCAACACCACCTCTTCCAGGGAGCCTCCCCTTGCATTACCCCCAGGCTGCCTCACTGTGCCCTTTGGGGCTCCCAGAGCAGATGGCTGGCCCCTGATCACAGGGCCAGCTTGCCCATTCCATTATATGCTAAGGCACCACTTCTCTGTCTTCCCTCCACAGCTAGGTTTCCAAAGGCAGAGGCACTGATTTTGTCATCATGTAGCCAGGTCCTTTACACATGGTGGCAAGCCACAGGAAGTACTGGGCTACAACAGAGTGAACGAGGGCTCTCAGGACTATCAGAAGACATTGCCTTGAGTCCAGCAAAAATGCCCACTCCTCAAACCACAGAACCACCACACCTGATGCTGGCAGCACTAACGGGGACCCCTGTCCATTTCCAAAGCTGGGGCAATGAAGAGATGAAAAGACACCAGCCTGAAAGGCTCATGCAGCTCCCCTCTGGACACATCTCAACTGGCAAAGGAGGGTGTTGTGCTCGGGAGAAGGGCCAATACTTGCGCTGGCTTACACACAACATGTACGTTCGGAGAGGGAGGACAGGCCGGCAGACCTCTCCAGGTCAGCGCCAAAGCTGCAGTCTGCAAACGAAGAGGGAGAGCGTGTGGTAGGCATCCCCCATGCTGCAGGTACGGCTTGTTGCCAGCCATACTGTAGGTACGGATGCAGCAAGAAGACCATGGGGATTCAGACTCAAGTGCTCTGAAGACACAGACACCCTTCTCAGACCCAGTGTCCTAGAGGACATCCCCAAGTTTGGAACTAGAAGGAATGCCCCTCCATATGAACTCCAATATCAGAATCAGCGCACAAAAGCAGCTCTAGAAATCCTCCAGCAACTTCCTGATGCTCAGGAAATGAGTCCCCAGTCTCTTCCCTAAGGGAACAGCATCAGGGACACTGGGAAGCAGCAGGGAGAGGAGTCTGCACCCTGCTGGATCCCCAGGAGCATACAGGACTGAGTCAATCACTTGCATCTGTGACAACAGGAAACCCACACTCCCAAGGGAAGCACAGACCCAGAGTCCCCAGCTAGAAGTAACCAAAAGGCCATCTCAGTCAACCATGGGCTGCTCAGCCTCCACTTGCATGATCAGCTACCTACAGAGACAGCACAAACTAGCCTCACCCACCCAGCCTCCCTGCCCCATTTCTCCTAATCAAGCCAAAGGAATGAACCAATCCCTGTGTCCTCCTCACACCTCTGCTGTGGCTCAGGATGTTTCTCCTGACACTAACCTCAGACCCATCAATCCTTCCAGGATCGGGGCCAATGTCCCATAGGTCCTTGCTGGAGCCCCAAAGCCAGTCATCACCCCCTCAGCACCAAGCACACAACCTGCTGCCCCTCACCACCTGCATGTCTGGCCCCTTGGGCTGCATCTTAGCATGCATAGGCCTGCACTTCCCCAGAAGGAACAAACCACATCCCCTCGATCTCAGGAGTGCCTCCAGCAAATAGTACCCGCCTTGCTGAATGAAGGAGTGACCACACAACATCTTAGGGGCAGGGCATCTTGCTGAGGGTGGGGGGTGCTCAACCAGCATCTTCTATGAGGTGGGGCCCACCTGGGTTCTCCAGGCCTCAAGGGATGCATGCCTTTGAGATAGATTCTCGGTCTTTACCATCAACTATTCTAGATTTGAAACAAACCACAAGCATCTCAGTCAAATCTACTGCTGAATTTCAATTACTCCTTTTACCTGAGGCACAGGTGACCCAAGAATAGTAAAAGTGGTAAGAGAGAAACGTTGGTTGGTTCATGGCAACGAACTCCAGGGGTTGGTGGGCATTGGGCCCACAGCTGCAGAAAGTGCTTGAGGGACCTGGTGCCAGGACGGGCTACCAGGGGAGTGAGCTCCAAGAAGCCACACTGACTCACATGCCTCCTCACCCTGCCCAGGCTGGTTTCTTCCCAGCCCTTGATGGGCTAAGCATCTGGCTTCCCACGTGAAGCACAGGTGGGAGCCATGTCAGATAGCAGAAGGATGGAGAGGGACCCTGGTCTTCAAGTTCTCATCCAGTAACACAGCTTACTCTGCAGGGAAGGAGCCACAGCTTCCCTGCACCCCCCATGCTGCAGGGTCAACATGCATCTCACCATAGCTGGTGCCCCCGCAGAAGGGGCTCCATGAATTCCCAACGAGTGAATGCGACTCGCCCTCCTCAACCTTAAAACCCTCCTCAACCTTAAAATTCCCAACAAGTGAATGTGACTCGCCCTCCTCAATCTAAAACCCAAACCTTGGGCAGGATCTCAGTGTCAGTATCAAAGCACTGGTCCTCTCTGCTGGGCAGAGAGAAGAAACCAGGCAGCTGAGAGGAGGCCACCTGTCTCACAGGCTGGGTCAGGGGGAGAAACGTCTCTGCCTGGCGGGTGCCTGAATCACCTCCGAGCTCTCTCTTGTCAGGAGTGTGGGAAGGTGTTACATACTGTTTCGTTTGCTTTCCTCTCCTCCTTCTTCCTCGTTCTCAGGATCAATGTCTTCTGCTTGGGTGATCCAATCCAAGTAGCCCTTTAGATCCTCCTCCAGCTGCTGCTTCTCCCGGAGCTTCTGGAAATCTCCCCGGGCTTTAGCCTTCTCTCTTTCTTTTGAGAATTCTCTGAGGGAGGTAGAGAGAACAAGCACATGTCAGGACATCCTTGGGGACCTGGACCAGGAGCCATCTGCCCTGCTGCACAACAGTCTTGTGGCAGGACACACGGCACTGAGTATGGCCACACGAGCACAGCAACAGAGGCCACACACGTGGACAGGACAGAGGACAGTGTCTTCTTAAGCAAGATTGTGAGTGTCAGAGCTGCAGAGACCACACCAACACACATGTGTTATCTCTTAGAAAACGAACAATCCCAAGAAGCCCAGACCTACAATGCCACATACTGTGATGGCAGGCCTCCTGACATCCTCAAAATTAGCCTGAACTCAGACATGTCCCACCCACCCCCAAAAGAGCCTCCTCAGATAGCTGGCATCACACTTCAAAGAGAAAGGACCCAATAGGGCTATACTGTGGTCAAAGAGAGCACACACCAAGTTTAGAGCTTCTTCAATACTTTCTGCCAAACATAGCATTCCTGACCTTCATGTCCAAACTGAGAGCCAAGAAAGGGAGCAGGTGCCCATGGCAACACCTGCAGGTTCCAGCCAGAGCAGTGGACAGGGTCAGGGCAGACCCACCTTACAGCCCAGTTCTCCCTTCCCACACAGGAAACAGAGCACTGGCAAAGCACTATTGTCATCTGTAACCCTCGCTTCAAGCCATGATCTCTCCCCAAAATTCTTCCCTGTAAGAAATGAAGAGGCAGTACGATTTGTTGCCCATTTATGGGAACACCTGCCCTGGAAAGGCTTTGGCAGACCCGTAAATGTTCCCAACTGCTTGTTGTTTACTTCACCTTTCATGTCTGCAATCCTCCATCTACACATACATATAGAATCCCACATTTGCTCAGGCAAGCCTGGGAGTCAGGTGGATGATTACCCAATTTTCACATACAAGAAACCATCTGCATTTCCAACCGTGAATGGCTATAGGAGCCAAGTTACATGAGTTCTGGATTTCCTAAATACGATTAAAAAGCTGCTAAGGAAGCAGATGAGATGACAGGCAGCACAGCTTCTGTGCACACAGCCCCAGATTCTGACGGAGGTTACATCTGCCTTCCTTCTGCCTTCCTTCCAGCCCAAAGCTGGCACATGTCCCTATCAGGGACCTCTTTAACCCAACCCAACCCAAGCGATTGAGAGGGAAATGATGTGCTTACATAAAGCCAACCCCTCTTCTCCCTCTCCACCCTGGCTGTCAAAGGGCTGAACAGATACTTGAAAGTCTAGGGATGCTGATGCTTCAGAGAACACGAATCCTCCCCAAGGTGCCATCCTCCCCAATCACCCACACTTTGGAATGCCCCAGAAGCTGCCCTTGGGTATATTAGGGCTGATCCATCTCCATCTTCCCCCTCTGGGAAGTGAGGAGGGGTAGGGCTGCAGGGCATTCTGGGCTCAGCCTGTAGAGGAGCTGACTTCAGGGGGTTTGCAGGGTGAACCAAAGCTGATTAAGACTCAGAGATGTTTTCTGCACTCCTCACCCAGGGGCCTTTCCTCCAAGGGAGAATAACTTCCTCTCTCACTCAGGAAGGGCCATCACAGGCAATGTCTTGCTGCTCAGGCAAACCATATCCTCAGGATGATTTGGGGCTGCTAGGCCTGCCAGGCTTCCTGAGATACAGGACACACATAGTTCTGGGTAGGTTCACCAAATTAATTTTAACTGTGAAAAAGTCATACCCAATCCATAACGACATCTCTGAAGGATGAAGTAGAGACCCTGGAGGTTCACGTGTCAACATGAAAATATACCATGTCATCTGTTTTCTTATATACATTGTAAAGAACAATTATGTGGGCCTCGTTTCTATTGTTTGCCAAAAGTAAGCACAAATCTTTGTGTTTTGATTCTAATCTTGGAGTATGAAATTTACACGTTATAATAGTGTTCTTATTCCTAGATTCATATCTCATCTGAGTTCTTGAAAAGGATTACAAAGATAGTAAAAGAGTTACCTGAAAAACTTAAGGGTTTTACAAGAAAGGATTTTGCTTTAATATTTTTTATTATCTAACAGGCTGTATCACTGTTGCACATTCTTGATTGTTGAGACATGGTAACACACGCAGCACAGGTAAAATCATATTATGAGTAAAATTTCTGAAAACAAAAATCATGCCTGGCTTATGGCCCACTTATTTCAAATAATAGTCACTATTGCAGAAGTTCAGATAACAAGGTTGTTAATGTAAACCCTCAGAACTGATTTTAGACTGTTCTGAATGACCTAATACTCAGCAGGCACACAACATTTGCTGATTTGGACAGAACTGAGATTTGCAAGCATAAATATCCTCCTGTTGGCTCTGAGACAGGCTGGAGGGAAAGGAGTGGGAGGAGGGGTCCTTGTGATGGACCTAGGGCACACTGGGCTCTCTGTCCGAAGACCTGGGTTCTAGTCCCAGCTCTGTCACTTGTCTCTTTTGAGCTTTGGTTTCCTCAGCTGCAAAATAGACATAATACTTGTTCTACTGTTTCACAGAGATTAAGTAAGACAATACCGTAGAAATCACAAAGCGCTGGACAAATGTGAAGTTGAAAAATAGAATATTTAGCTGTTGAATCCAAGCATTAAAAAGGCAATTGGAGGAGCTTTCTCAAATACCAAGGGAGGAAAATTGTAAACAGCTCTGAGTGTGCCCTAGGCTACATAATCCCAGCAGAAATGAGAAAAGCATAGGACACATGGGATCCCAGGCTCAGAGTGACCTCAATGAGCCAGCGCCCCTTCAATCCTGTACCATTCTCTGCTCTGTTGAAAATAACCCACTCCCACCCTTGACAAACTCCAGAAAAATCCCACCCAAGTACACTGAATCTTCTATCAACCTCAGTAGATCAAGAAAAAAGTTTTCCATTTTGCATGAGAATTCGTTATTTTAGAAGCTTGTTACTAAGAGACTAAATAATAGCCACTACTACAAAAGTTGATTTTAGACATCTATTGGTAGAAACCATCTGACTCTTTACAAATGACTAGAAATCACAACTCAACATGTGACAGAAGCCTACTTGTTCCAGAGTAGAATTCTATTTATGGTGCATTCAATCACAGGAAGATATAAGAAAGGCTTCAACAAAAGGCACATGGTATTTTACCCTTTATGTACGAAAAGGGAAATAAGAAAAACATGCATATTACACTTCAAGGTGTATCCAAAGGATAAAGCAGAAAATGCAGAATGGAGACAAGTGGAGGGGAGGGGACAAAATAGGAGGGACACCGTTAAGTATACCTTTCTCTACAGTTTTGACTTTTGGAACCATGTTAATGCTCTACACATTACAATTTTTTAAATTAAATCAACAAGAATGGGATGGGGGAAATATCTCTAAAGTGGAAGTGAACTGAGACAAATGAATCTGTATTTCAAAAGAATCACAGCTATACTGAAGAGAAAGACAAAAGTAGCTCAGGTAGTTTAGGATCTCCTGACTGCATGCTCTTGGCCTTGAACAGGGTCAAGTGAGGGAAGAACTACAAATAAATGCTAAATTCTTCCTGGGGTTGTGTGTTTTGTAGTGCTATGGACAAAAGAATGCTAAAACCATTTCAGATGTATTAGAGGGCTTAACGAATGAGCAAATATATCCATGTTGTTTGGAGTCAGGTTTCTCAATGTGGAAGGAAGGACATAGAAACATGAAAAAAAAAAAAAGGGAAGACTAGAAGAATCCTCTGGGGATGAACTGGAATTGGAAGTGTTGGTGTGAATTCACGATTGCTAGAAAATATGTATATATGTGTATACATACATATAAATGTAAGAATGTGTATGTGTATATACATAAATGCATGTATTTCCTAACTCTGTCAAAAAGATGTGGAAGCAAAGGCACCCCAGTAGTTATGAGCACACCTGACACCCAGAGTTTGGTCTCTAATACCATTTCAATTAAAAGGAACCAGGAATCTTTGGTAAAATGGATGATCCCAGGGACAGGATAGAGTAGGTACAGGAAGAAACAAGTAAGGAAGTGTCAAAAATAAATAAATAAAAACTAAAAACAAAAACATGATAAGGGCATGCCATAAGGTCACAGGAGCCAAAGAAGTATCTCACACTGGCTAAAGCTAGGATAGTTTGAGCCCCAAAATAATAAAAAATAGAAATAAATTATAGTTTTTAAAATATCAGTCCATACCTCGTATAGACAGATAAACAAATTAACTGATAGTTTCTAGAGGAGAGGAGAAGGGGATGGACAACATGGGTGAAGGGGAGTGGGAGATACAAGCTTCCAGTTATGGAATGAATAAGTCATGGGAATACAAGGTACAGCACAGGGAATACAGTCAATGATACTGTAATAGTGCTGGATGGGGACAGATGGTAAGGACACTTGGGGTGAGCACAGCATAGTGTATGAACTTGTCAAATCACTATGTTGAACACCTGAAACTAATGTAACACTGTGTGTCAACTATACTCAAATTTTTAAAAAGTGAAAAAAAAAAAAAGCCAAAGAAAAGGGAGATCAGGTGAAGGGTACATGGATTGTTCACTATGTTATTCTAGTAACTTTTCTGTAGTTTGAAATTACTTCCAAACAGAAAAATTTTTCAAGTGTTTGGAAAAATGTAACCATAGTAACCAGATGTGAATTTATGTTATATATGCATTTCCACTTACCGGCTGGATTGGAGGCTCCTCTCAGGGATGGACAATGTTGTGCATGTCTTATGTTTTCCTTTGCACACCTCCATCTCTCCCATGATGCCCCTCTTCAAGCAGGCATGTGGGAAAGTTTGGATACAAGGCACACAGAATGAGCCCTTCCTTAAGAGGACAGAATGTGTCAGGATAGAAAACTTGTGATTCCTGGGATCTCCCAGCAGCATGAAAGGAGTGTGTTTCAGCCCAGACAGAGCATCTACAGCAGCTTTCATCATCAGCCTGACCTTTCCCCTCATCATTTACAGGCTCACAGAGCATCTCCCCTCCAGGTCTATGTCCTTTGTAAGAAGCAATTTCTCAGTGGGGAATCTC